ATACATAGACTACTATGTAGTAACGAAAATTTCATTAATACACAAAATTATACGTTACTATTTGAAATTGGTCTTATTTAAAGTTACATATATTTAATTTTTTGTTAAAAAAATTTTTAAAATTTATTAGAAAATTTTCTTAAATTGTAAAAAACATGTTCCGGAACGCATTTTTCTCTCCTATTAAGTAGTAGGATGGATTTCCAATTATTTAAAAGTACTGGGATGGCATCCCACTCATCCCGCCTCACTTCGAGCATGAATTAAACGAAATATTTGCTACAGTATTGATAAGTTTACAAAACATTCAAAAGATATTTGAGTAAAGTTTTTAATTTTGAAATAACATCATTTACCTTCAAGGACAATGAAGTTCTATAAAACATTTTTTTTTTCACATGTGTGCTAAAAAAGTTTTCTAAAATATCGCATCCCATTTTCACAATTGTGTACTTTTAAAATCCCCTTTATAAAAATATAACAATTACCAAAACAAGTTGTGCTTGTATTGTTTCTGCCAAATTGCAAAGTTCAATCGTTTATACTAAACGAAAACAAATATGTTATAATAGACGTATTATATAAATTCATTGGTTATAATCATATTTTTGAATTTATATGAGTAATGTGTAGAAAAAAAATTTGATGTGGTCAGCACATATCCAACCACAATGTGTAAGCCTAGTGTAGTGAAAGTGTTACAGAAGATTATGAAAATGCGTTTTAACACATCTTAACAATTTCAAGGACACTACTCAGCTTTTAGTTAACATACCTGGAAAAGTATAAATTTGGGTCTTAGTTGAATTTCCCTTTGCGCCACCCGAATTCTCTGGAAAGTTCACCAGCTATTTTCGGTAAGAACCAGAAATCAAATATCAAATTTAAAGAAATTCCATTAATCCGTTTCGTTAACATAAAAAAACATAAATTCGATCCGAGCCCTGATCTTTCCAAAAAATTACACAAAAAGTAAAATTGGCCCGCAAAAAGGTCCAGTTTCTGAGGTCTGATATATTCCCTGATATATCAAACTTCGGGAACTGGTCTGATAAAGTTGATCAATCCGTGCAATATCCAAAATAAACCCACATATAAAATTTTATCAAAATCGTTTCAGACGAACTTGAGGTACACGATTTCGCACACAGACCGACAGATCGACATCTCTGTAAAAGTAGTTTATTTACACTTCCCTAATAGTAGAAGTCCGCCGAAAACTCGACATCCAAAATTTGGGGCCATCACATGACCTCCCTCATTGTCTACAATGCTGTCGGAAATAAAAATGCTGTCTACAATGCTGTCGGAATTATATCATATTCCTAATACAGAAGTATTAAATTATTCAAAATCAGTGGTTCCACAAAATTTTTAGTCAAAATCAAATACATTTTTACCCCTAACATCCTGTAATAATAATAATTGCAATAATATTCTGCATAATTTAAAAGAAAATAAAAAGATATTTGTACAGTTGATAACCAAATTCCGAATAACATTACTCTGACGAAGTAATTTGGATAAACTTAGATGAAAATCAAATTAACATATCTTGAAACATACATAATCAAAGTTGAGATTTAAAATATACAAAATAGAGAACAGTTTGAGGCTTATTAAGTTATTTTAAATGAACCGGTTGTAAGCTCAACGTAACTCAATCCAATCAAGATTTTTCCTTATTATAAGCATTTATGATTATTTAATTTTTAATAAATATGTAATAAAACTTATATTTAAAATATATAAAAAAATATAACTTACCTTTTTAACAATTATTTAAATTTTATAAGTTAATTTTTAAAACATAAAATTAAGAATTAATTCAAACAAATCGATGCTAATTAGTTATTAAATAAAAAATAAATATCTTAATTTTTCTTTTTAATTTTTTTTTGTATTATTAATAATAAAACACGAAACGCTTTCAAAAATCTTGAATAAAATATCATTGGAATTTAATTAAATAACAATAATGAAAGAATCCTTTTTCATTTGGATTAATTTTAACTAAGTATTTTAATTTCTTTGATATTTCATTCAATACACATATATGTACTTCGTTTTTAAAAAAATAATATTAATGTTATTATGAAAAAAGCACTTAAAAAATAAACTACATTGGTTGTATAGCTAAATTTTATAAATTTTAAAACTATTAATATTTATATAATTAAATTAAAAGAATTTAAAATATATTAATTATATTTAAACTAAAATATAGCATTAGAACTATAACTACAAAACTTATAAGCTACGAAGCATCAAACAATTGAATAAAAATTATTTATGTCGACAAAAAAGTTAAATTACATAATAATATAATGAATGCTTTTGTAACAGCAATCACATTTTGCATCGCAGCACTGATTCAAAAATAAAATTATTATGAACGGTTTTTTCCGTCTATACAACAAGTATTTGCTTAAGGATCATACATAAATTTAATTGCATTAACCCGCTCATATATCAAGTTATGTATATATAAATTCTATTTAAGGTAAAATAAAAAACAAAATAACGACGTTTTCGTAGTTGAATAGTGAGCAAAAACGTTTCAGGAAAATTTAGTCAAGAGTGTTGAACCAGAATATTTATTCAGATGAAATATCAAGACTTTCGTTTATTTTTAATAAATCAATATATTTTCGGTTCGATACTGTAAGCCTGTAGTGCATACAGTAGTTGATGTAAAAATGTAGTTAAGTGATTGCTTAAATTACTGAAAAAATTTATAAACACTTTTTATCAATTGTTTGACATACAAATATAGCTAAATTTAAAGCCTTAAAATTATATAAATTTAAAAAAAATAAAGTATGCTTTAAATAAAAAACAAAACTATATGATCGAATATGATTTTAAATTAAATTTACAGATATGTATATGAGTTTTATTAATGTATAAATTAATGTAATTTTAATTTTTAAGTAGTATAATAAGCGCAAGTTAATTTTGTATTGATTTTTTTGTTAGTTTTCAAAACGAAAGTGTTGTTAAATTGATTTGTGAAAAAATAGCATGCAATTTATTGAAATATCTTTTTTTACTTTAATTGAAAAGTGTTTTGTCTTTTAATATTTTTATTTTGTTGTATTTTATTTCCATCTCCAAAGAAAAAAACTTAAATCTAGCATAAACATATTAAGAATTATCGTATTCCTAAACAAAAACAAAAATATACATTCCATGTTTATTTATGTTGTGTTGTATGATTTTAATATAATAGAATTTTTGTTATATAACAGTATAATAAAAATATATTTTAAAATATTTCTTAATTCTATTAATATGAAACTTAAATTAATCAAGAAATTTGTTTTATCTTTCTTATTAAATATTATCAAATCAATTATTACAAAATTAATTCGCGTTTACAAATAACATGCTTTCTTTGTTGAGAGTACTTTGTTGTACTAAACGTTAATTGTATAAATAATACAGAAAACTAAAAGATATTTTCTGAAAATCTTTATAAAATGTAAATAAACAAAGATTTGCCAATTTATAAAATTTTCGATAAACATGAAATCAAATGATTTGAAGTTCAAATTTTAAATTATTTGAATTATATGTTTGATACAATGCATTGAAAAAATAATAAAATATTCAAATATTGAACATGATTTCATGGTTCGATAATACGAATTTTAAAAACAAATAAAAGGAAACATTTAGAAACATAAAAGGGAAAAGTACAACACTTGAAATATAACACTTGAATATAATAGAAAAATGGAAGATATAAAATTAAAATCAGAACTTTTATATGCCACAGGTGTTAGAGTCAGTGGTCCATCAATAATGAAAATAATTTTTAATAATTATTTAATGGTTTAGAAAACCAGTAATTTATAAAGAAAAGAAATGTTATAAAAATTCAAAGCTCTTCCTGCTACAACTAAAACTCTTTTAATGATTTTCTAATTCTTTTTTTTTAATTTGTGAATTTTTTTTTAATTAATGTAAAATTTACGGTTTGGAAGGTAAAATTAATAAATATTAATTTCGAAAAATCTTAACAAATATTATACCAAAGATTACCAGCATATCTTTGGAAAATATATGTTGCGTCATTTTGTAAAAGAAAGCATATTTAAAATACAATATAATAGTCAAATATGTACATAATCCTTCAACTACCTAAATAACATTGTCCAAAATTATGCTTTTTTAACAATTTAAGCTTTGAAAGTTTTATAATTTTAGTTGAATTAAATAGAAGCTTCATTGTATATTATAAATGTTTTATATTACAATTAAGAATTACTTATATTGAACAATTTTCTTGATTCTACTAAAGAGTAACGCTAACTAGAAAGTATTTATGATTTTTTACAGATACATATATATTGAATCGCAATTATATACATTTATATATAATTGGGATTATATAGGCTCTAGACAATTCAAAGAATCGGCTTTAAAAGTGTATAACAACACTTAACCATTATTTACGAAAAAAATTTATATAACTGCTTTTATTTCATAAATTTCATAAAGTTATATTTTAAATTAATGATAAGAATTTAAAAACTCAATTGCATAGAACCTATATAACAAATATTTCAGATATAAGACTAAAATATACATATAATTTATTTAATATACATATTTATGACATAATAACAGAACAATTTACATTATCAATGAAAAAAACAATTTTATGTATACAGTACATAATTAAATTATGTTTAATACATATTGTACATATATTATAATTAAAACTACCTAAAACACAATACATATATATGTATGTAATTTGAAAATCAAAGATTTTGAAAATTTGAAAGCATAAAAAACAAATATTTAATTAATTCTTTTTTTTTTTTTTAAATTTACGAAACATTTTTTGAATAAGCACTAAACAACGATTTGTTTTAAAATTCTTAAACAGTATAGGTTTATATTATAGTAACTATTTATAAATCTCATTCCAACAACTACACATTTTATTTAAAAAACAATTACAGAATATTATTTAATTATTTATGTACCTTAATTGAATAATGTCCATTCGGTATGCTTTGTCCACCAAACTTAACATTCAAATCATATTCGCCAGGTTCATTTAATGTGTAGAATATATCAAAGAATCCATCCTTTTCAATGACATCAATATCAACGTCACTATAATTCATAAAAAAGAGTATAAAACCATAATTAAATATCTAAATTTCGAAAATACCATTTTTGTTAAATTATGTTTGAAAACTACAAATAAAGTTCTTTTTGCAAAACGTAATATCTTAAAGAACAATTATGAAAAAGAAAACAAAAAAATTGACATTCGTTACAAAAACTAATTTTGTCAACTTAGAAAAGTCGGAAATAATAAAATAAAATTTAACTCAAATTAAACATAATTTACTGTATTCAACTTAAGCTCAAAAAACGAATTACTGCAATTTTAATGCCTTCAAAACACATTTGCCATTGTATTTTGTGAGTAAAAATGTTTACATTTCGATACAATGTTATAATTTTTTAATTTGACAAAACTTCAATAATTTTTGTTTACAAAACGTCAAAAATGGTAACCAATTATCACATATTTTTAAAATATTCTGTCAACCTTATTGTATTCATGCACAGCAATACTTACTTTCCATTTTTCGATGTTATTTTACATGTAACTGCTCCGTCACCAGCTTCTCTAGCATCAACTGTCATATGACTTTTACTACCAGACGGTTGAATTTTTGGGGCTTCTTCAACTAATTTGCATTTTTTAGCTTCCCCAGTAGGATATGCTTGCAAAGTGAATGGTGAACCTTGAATTTCTTTGCCCCCATATTTGATGCTAACATTATATGGGCCACATTCATCAGGTACAAATGATACCGTATACGAACCATTTTCAAGTTGTTCCATTTTTGGCTTCAATGGTTTGCCTTTCGGATTTTTTATTGAAACATTAATATCAGCTTGACCAGCCTTTTTTGTATCAATTTGAAATTTAGCAGGTAATGATGCTGGTAATTGTTTTTTCTGTGTATCACCATCAATTTTGACATTTTTCTCATCAAATTTAGGAAATACTTGCATTATGAAAGGACTGAAAATAAATGGAAGAAAAATGGTATGAATTTCCACTAAAATCCAATAAAAAATTATATATTTATAAATTATTCATTACAATTTGAAGCTTTTTTGTAAATTTTAGTTGTTACATATAAATAATAGTATACAAATTTTCAAATCACAAATAAGTTTGAACAATTATTATCTTCAAAATAACCTTTTTTTAATAAATTCATTTTGATAACATATCTACCTGCAAGGTACTTCAACATCAGCAAATTTAACAGTACATGTTAATACTGATCCTTCTTTTGGTGGTATGAAATGCACAGCATATAAACCATTTTCTTTGTCTTGAACATGCCAGTTTTCAATAGGATGTCCTTCAGAGTTATTCATTTGCACTGAAATTTTTCCAGGACCAGCTTCACCAACATCAACATCGAAATATGTTGGTACATCTTCTCTTACTTGACCATGTTCAAGAGCTGGACCAAAAACTTTAACTTTTGACGGTTCAACACTTTCTTCAACAAAGACTTTAAATGGTGATCCAGGTATATGTTTGTCAGCAAATCTTATTGTTATATCATATTCTCCTGGTTCTGTTGCAACATATTCAACGTCACAGCTACCATCTCTATTATCAATACAAGACATTTTTGCCTCAGCTGGACCTTCGATTGCTAAGGATAATCCGCCTATACCAGCTCCCTTTGTTTCTACAGTAAATTTATTTGTGTGATTTGTAATACCTCGTTCTAAACCTGATCCATATGCTTTGCATCTTGATGGATCACAACCACTTTTAACATGCACAACAAACGGCGACCCAGGAACGTGAACATTATCGTATAAAAGTTCAATTGTATGACGTCCTGCTTCAAATGGAGTATACATAATGCGAAAAACGTCATCATCTTTGCCAGTTACTATTTTACTGGGAAGGACATTTCCCTTTGGATCAAATATTGCACAAGATAATTTGCTTGTATCAATGTTGCTACCAACTTTACTCATATCTACTAAGAAATCCGTAGCCGCATTCATAATTACACCTAAAATTGTAATACAAATATTAGAATATTAATTGTAATAAGTAATGTACACGTATTATATAAGCATAATTAATTCATAAAACATGCAACACAACAATATTATTAAAGAGCAGAAAAAATTGCTTCATTGTTAATTGTCCTGCTTATATTAGAAAAGGGAAAAAATCACACATGTTAACATTTTTTTCTTAGGGTTTCCAAGCTAACAGATATTCGTTAGCGAGCTGGTCCACGGTATTTAATTTTTAAATATTGGTTGATCTAATCAAACAGTTAATCCTAAATACAGTTATAAAAAAATACAAAACAAACTGAAAAATAGCGCTTTGGTTATTACTTTTCGCAGGCAAAACATCTTTGGGCACAAAACTTCACATCAAAATCATCATCATAAAACTCAAACGCCTCATCTCATACCATGAGGTTGTATTCCTAATCCAGAAACGCGAATATTCCTTAAATTTGGTTGAGCAATAATAATAGCTTGGAATGGTGATCCCACGATATGATGGTCATTAAAAGTTATATTTACTGTGTAATCACCTACTTCTGTTGGTAAATATGCCACATTACACGTACCATCTCCATTATCACGACAATTTATAGCAGCTTCACAAGGTCCTTCAACTGTTACACCTAAACCACCTTGACCAGCACCACGTGTATCTATAACGAATTCGGCTGGCAACGCTACATAACCTTTTTCCAAGCCTGGTCCATAAGCATGTACTTTTGCTGAATCACTACCAACCAAACATTGCAAACGGAATGGTCTTGGTGTTATTGGCGTTCCACCAAAGCAAACGGACAATAAATATTCTCCTAACTGTGTTGGGGTAAAATTAACTAAAAACCCTTCTGCGGTAGGTATAACATGAGCTTTAATACGATTTCCAGACGGGCTTGTTATAATCACAGACAAATCAGCTCGAGCCAAACCATTTGTTATAACACGAAACTGTTGTAAACTATTAACAGGTGCCGCTTTTGGTGTTTTCATTTTTTTTTTTAATGAAGAAATTATAATTAAAATTTTTGAACTCTTTTATCTGATTTAGAGAATAATTTTTTTCCTATTGCTAGTGAACTTCTTCTATTGCTAATTATTCAAAATCTACTTACTTGGTTCTAGGCCATCAACTTTAATTTTGGAAACGTCAACGGCTGGTGTTATAACCACCTTTGGAGATGTTGGAACCAATAAACCACCATAATACATATTTGTTGTGTAAGATCCAATAGCAGGTGGAACAACTTCTACAGTATAGGTACTATCCTCATTATCAATTATTCTAACTGGAACTTCTGCTCTAGTATCGTCATGGATTAATGTCACCTTTAATTCAGCATCACCCGCATCCCTAATATTTCCATTATTTTAATCTTTTTATATAAAACTAACATTCAAAAATTTACCTCGCATCAACATTGAAATGAGTTGCAACATTTGGTTTTACACCAGGTTCCAACCAAGGACCCATTACTTGTACTTTAGTCGGGTCCAATGGTGTTGTAACATAAACCCTATGAGGGGAATCTGATGTTGCTACTCCGCCATAATTAACTAAAATATAATTGAGTTAAAACTATTCTAATACCAAAACTCTATTCATTTACTTTCAACAGTATGTGGAACACCAGATTTTGGTGTATATGTGCAAATCTTAGTTCCATCTGGATTATCCTTAATTTGAACAGGAATAGATTTAGCATAAACGTCTTGCACGAAAACTTCTAAAGGAGCTGAACCGGCGTTTGATGTATCCACTGTAAAACTCACAGGTTGATCTATTACTACACCATTCTTTTCTAAGCCTGGACCAAAAGCTTTAACTTTTTCTGGGAAGAATTCTGTTTTTGGATAAATATAAGCCATATGGGGACTTTTAGGTATATCCTCATTATCACAAAGTATATGAACTGCATATTCGCCAGGTGCAGTTGGATAATATTTTACTAAAGCAGAACCGTCTCCATTATCGTGGCATTCTAGAGGTAAAGTAAAAATACAAGAAATTCAAAAATCAAAAAATTTTCAAAAAATTAAACAAAAACACTATTTACCAATTTCTGCTTGTGAAGGACCAGCTACTGTAAAACCTAAAGCTCCTGTTTCACCATTTGTTTCAACGACAAACGCTGCCGGATAACCTACAATGCCACTTGAAAGCCCTGGCCCATGAGCAACAATTGAGGATTCTTTATAAGGGCGTACATTAACTTCAAATGGACTTTTCGGAATCTCTTGACCCCCATATGATATCATTACTACATAACGTCCTTCTTTTGTTGGAGCATAGCTTGCTTCATATATTTTTCCACTTTTTTTATTCAGTTTTACCATTTGCGTTGTACCTCCTGGTCCAATTACTCTTACTTCTGGTGTACCCTCTCCAGCACCTTCAGTATAAATTTTAAAGTCTGCCTCATCACCAACACGTACTCCTTGCGATTGAAGCCCACGACCAGATGCTCGTACTTTCTTTGCATCAGAAATTGGTGCAACTTTAACAGGGAATGGACTATTTGGTATTGGATTACCAGCAAAAAATACATTTACAGAATGTAATCCGGTTAATGGAGAAACATATTCGCAACGCCATACATCTGGCTCAATTTGTCTTAATTTTGCTGGAACTGAAGTTTTATGATTTGCAGGATCAATAATAATGACTTCAGGTACACCTTTCCCTGCATCTAAAATTTTAATTAAAAAAAAAAGTTAAAATGTGTAATCAAATTTATACTTTCAATATTGAACCTTTTGTTAATATATCAAATGACGTTGGACGATTAATACTAACACCCGTAGCTTGAATTCCAGGACCAGTAACACTGACTTTAGAAGCATCGCCAGCATGTCCTTCCACTTTCACGTTATAGGGACTTTTTGGAATATCTCTACCAGAAAACTTTATGAAAACTTGATGATTCCCTTCTTCCTTTGGAATATAGGATGCAGAATATGTTAAATTTTTATCATTATTATAACGAACATCTGCCTTCTCCTGTTGACCCCCTGGTCCAATAACAATTACATCAACAACTCCTTCAATTAAAAAAAAAATATTTACATATTTTTTGTTATTTATTAATCATTTTATTATGAATGTTTATATGTATGTACATACCTTTTCCAGCAGAAAATGTTTCAACTGTAAAATTGGCTGGTGCGCCAACAACTGGCCCAGTGGGTTCAATTCCAGGACCATAAGCTCGAACTCTTCAATTGTGAAATTAAATATTTTAAAATGTTATAGATTTAGTAAAATTAAATAAAAAGCAAAGCCTAGTAATTTTTAATAATTTTTTATTGTTTAAAACAATTTAATTAGCATTTAAATATCAATAACTATAAAAATTAAAGCACACTTTATTAAACTTTACAATAATTTGTTTTAGCAAAAATAAATGTTCGCCTAAGCTTATGCAAAACCAAACAACATATTAGTTTAAAAATTACTCAAATGCAAAAGTACTCTTTCACATTTTGATCTTAAGTGAGTTTTTTATGTTCAAATTAAAACAAAAAGAGAAAACAAGTATGAGTAGAATTGAAAATGTCGTACGTTCGCACAATTCATTTACAATAAATAAGTAAAAGTAGGTAGACATTAGTTGAAAAAAATTATATCTGCTGATTCTAATTTCTGAAGAATGAGAAATATTTTTAATTTCATTTCTCAAAATCATAAAAGAAAATCACTCAATTCTCACCAACATGATCATTTTTTATGAGATATTTTTCTACATTACGGGAATATTAGAATTTAGAAACACAACAAGTTTTTTTATTAATGAAAAAATCAATAATATATTAATAATTAGATTAATATTTTCAAGATAAACAAAAATAATTTTATTAAAATATTAATTATTTAAAAGGGTACTATATATATGTATATGAGCAAGAAATAAAAATTTATTATGGAAAAAAAGTTTTGTATTTGCTTTAAACTTGAAACTTATAAGCGGAACAGGATTAGCTATCAAATATTGAATTAATCGTTGAATCAACTAATCAAGTGTTATAGTTTGAAACCTAAAAGATGTTAAAAAGCAAAGCGTTAACACGAAAAATTTAATTTTTGGTTAAAGAAATCGAATCTCAAATAAGTTAAAAAAAAGATTGTTTTACTTTTTGTTTCGAATGATTGCAAATTATCCTACAATTAATTATGACATTAAATGTTATTAGTTTAGTTCTTGAATAAGAAAAATAGGTGCAAATTCTTGGCTTTTCTTTGAATTTTCTTTGGATACAAATTGCAGCTTAATTAATTTTTTTATCAAGAAAAAAGTTGTAACATTTATAAGAAGAATTTGTGCTGCTTTAAAAAACCAAACATAATGAAATACGAATAATAGCGTTAGCTTATCTTATAGTGAATACATTCATACTTGTATGAATTTATAGAAGTATAACGGATCTACATATGAAATAAGGTAGAAGTAACTATATTTGAACGGTTAAATGACTTGCAGTTCAAATACTAATTTATTTTAACATGCTACAACATGAAACAGTTTAAAAATAAAAAATAATAAACATAAGCAGCTTGAATTCTATGACAAAAACTTAATAATTTTATTAATTATACCAAACAAAATTAATTTTATAATTATTAATTAATTAAAAATTTTATAAACCTAACAAAAAAGAAAGTCTCAAGTTTCCACTCGCAAGTCTCAAAACTTTTAAGCATATTTTACTAATTTCAAAAAACATGATACAAGAATTGGAAAAATGTGGTGTTTTTATTATTAAAACACATTTTCGTTAATTATTTTTATATTATCAAATAAATGTCGAAAATTAAATATGTGATTAAATTAAGTAAAAAAATAAATGGCATTTTGAAATGATGTTAAAAACTTGCTAAAATAGCCAAAATAAAAAAACTTGAAAAGAAAAACTAAATGCGAATTAATAAATTTTCTATTATTATTTTTGTTAACTTAAGGCATTCCAAACTTACCGGGGAGGAGGAATGCTGGAGTATTGTAAAAATTTTAATTGAAATTTTGTAATTTATATTTCGTTTTTGGTTTTACAAAACAATATACATTTTTTCGTTATTAGCGAAAATTTAATTATTTTGCATTACAAGAAATAAAAAAAAAAGAAAAATAAAAAAAAATTTATTAGAATTTTTTTTCAAAGAGATTACAAAAAAAAATATTTTTTTTTTAAAACGCTAATTAAATTAATTTAAAAAAATGTATTTAACAATTTAATCGTTTTGTTCTTTTTTATAATAAATAAATAAATCAAAAAAGAAGATATTGAGGCGTGCTTTTGAAAAAAGAACTGCCGTGAATTAGAGAGTAAAATAAAATGGCAAAACTATTTCGAAAAATTATAAAAATCATAAATAATAGTGTGTGGGTATGTATGTACGTTTTATAAGTATAAAATTATTTACGAGTATGTGTTTAAATTAAGTGTAATTGTATAATTATGTTTATGATACAAAAATAATAAAAAAAAAAAAAAAACATTACAAAAAAAATTGTTTTTTTGTGAAAAAATAAAAGTTACTAATGTAAAAGTTTTAAAAATAACAGTAAATGATGGATTTGTCTTTGTTTTAAGATTTTATTACCTATTTGGATTAGTTTTTGGACGTAATGGTGCTCCTTGTTTTAATTTTGCACTTGGATATTGCGATAAATATGTCATCATTGATTGTTCATCAACATTTGGATTAACAATTTCTTCTGGTTTAATTAATTGCCTAACATTTAACCAATCATCAGCTAAACCCATAGCTTCAGATGCATTTTGTACTGCATCCTTGGGATCCCATAATTCCCAATCGGGGCATAAACCTGGCGCACATGCATCAACTAATGCACCTACAGCTTTACCATCTGTCCAATCATTTGTGAAATTATTAATTGGTAAATCAGGTATTTTTGTATGAATCCAATTTAATAATCTACAATAAAAATTTAAAAATATTATAAAAATTAATTTAAGTTTTTTATTTGTTATAAAGAATATGCAATATACTTATGAGGTTGTGTATTCTTATAAGCATTTAGAACCTATATAATTTTTTAAATTTTGAACAGAAATGCTATTATTAAAAAAAAATACACCTTTTTAAACCAACTACTTAGTTACTTACGGATGGTTTTAACATCTAACAATGTTAATTTAATCAATGGTTTGTAAAATAGCATGTCTCGCTTGAATGAAATTAAATCATCAAAATCTAAAAAAAAAATTTACTTCAAGTTGGCTTAAAATATGGTAAGGAAGCTAAAGGAATAATTCCGAAGTATTTATTGTGAGAAATCTGTATAACAATTTAATAAAAAAACTATGACATTCCTATATTGAGACAACTTTAATATATTTATAAGTATTCTTATAAAAATTTCAACTTTAGCTGAACTAGGAAAATTAATTGTACTTTTTGTTTTTAAAATTGCCTGCATAATAATTTAAAGTGTGTAGGTATATTAAAGAAAGCAAAATGGGATTCTAAAATTCTACTATAATACCGTTTTTGTGGAATTTTTTATTTAATTTACCTTTGTTTTGGTGTCGGGCCGGAGCCATTTATTTGATTATCGTCCTCGCCATCCCATACAGGCATTGAAATTGAATAATGCAAAATAAGTGTCCATATTAAACCAAGAATTAGTTTAAGTTTACAATCAACAATATCTGATGAATCTGAAAAAAAAAATTATTCAATTAACTATAAATTATTCTTTTGCTGTATATGTACATGCATATATGTATACGTAAATATATGGAAGAACATATACGTATCCATAAAAAAAGTATTATACAATCAAATAACATCCTACATACTTATAGTACTTTATATTTTTAATTAAATAAATATTAGCGAATATGTACATGTAAAAATAAACATGATGGCATATTCAAACTCCGTTTTTCACATCATCGCAGCGGAGTCACTGTAATTTCCTTTTTCAATATATACTTAATGAAGTTACAAAAATGTCAAAAGTTCACGAGAATTTTAATTAAATAAATACTATCACACTATTGGATTTATAATTTCAGGGACCACGAAAATTATAAATTAGTATTACTACAAGAATAGTAAAATTTCTGCATTTTCTAATATTAGAACAAAGTTACAGCTTTCCAATTTACATGAGTTTTTATCAAAAGCAACATAACAAAAAACTTGGTGTGTACATATATACAAACTTCGCTTTCAACAAAGACTCAGAAATGGTTACAATCAAGTTTTGTAGCTGAAAATTAGTACACCTTCTCTTAAATCACTTTCACTTACTCCCATATATTTGTTAAAGTCGAAACATTTTTAAGAATGGAAAATAAAGGCCAACCCCTAGGCTTACCCACCCGCACCGAATGGGATTTAAGAGGTCAACAAATTCTCTCCGAACATACCAAATCTTCTAGTACAACATTTGTTGAAGTTTTAAGATTTTAATGAATGGATACGGGTAGGAGGGCTAGACCCATCCACTGCAAATTTATTTCATTCCATTATAACCATACATATCCGTAACACCTTCTCTCCCATTTTTTATGGTAGAAACGTTTTGAGAGTGAAAATTGTATGGTTAAAAAAAATAAAAAATTACCATACGAAAAACTTCTTCCTTCCGAAGCTTCTCGCTAAGTCATTTGGGAGCTCAGTTACAAAAATTTAAAAATTTTGACGACAAAAAAACGTGGCATCAACAAGATTCAAATGAATATAAGAGTATTAAATTAATTTTCAATACTTATAATGGTAAATTTCAATAACATTATTTTAAAGTAAAATGGCGTTTTATATCAGATTAACTAGAATCACTTTAATAATAATTTAAATGCCCTGCGTTGCTCTTTGCTTCTTCACACATCCTTTTGCATTTACTGTAAGTAGCATCTACTTTCATAAATTTTAAACTTAAAACAAATATTTTCATAATTGCCTTCAAATAAATAGTTTCTACTTTTAATGCAAAAGTATTTTACATAATTATTGAAAAAAAGAAAAAAAATTAACAATGCCTTTTTAAATTTAAATTAAATGTCAAAAAAAAATTGCCTTTATGGAAATTAACTCTTAATAAATCAAATTTATGGATAAGTTACCCATTAATATAATAGAGCTTTAAAAAAAATGAGAATAGGTGAAGGACATTTTAATAATGTTCTCAGCCTTGATCGCCCTACAGATTCGTTTTTTCATATTATTCTTAAGTTCGTTAAATATTATAAAGTTATTTATTTCATTTACACTTCCGTAAACATTTAAATTTCGCGCTTTATTTTTTTTATTATTTTTAACTTTTTGTGATTAATAAGTGATGTAAAATTAAATATTTTATTTACTTTAACATTAAATTTTAAATAGTACAGAAAAATTTTATTAAAAATTCTTTTCTACCAATTACACACTTACATGTACTTATAATTGATAGAAATTAATTATGTAATTTTTATATTTTAAATTAACAATTTATTAAAACGACTTATTTATGAACATGATGGCGTATTCAAACTCCGTTCGTGTTATGGATGAGATTCTTTTCTTGAAGGAAGTCGAGTTTTCTTGAAGGAATAGTCTATTCCTTCAATATAATAATGTTTTTTTAGGTTTCTATACGCTAATATAGAAGTCAGTTCAGAATTGACCTCACGCGAATAGTCTTTGCAACTATTAAGGATTTTTACAACACTGACATTTTTCTATATTTTCTAGTATCGCCTTTCAAAATTAACTACAATAATTATTGTTAAACAAATACATTGTTTAAAATCGTCTTCCATAATAGCTTAACGTTTTTGATTCGATTTAATTGCGCAGTCGCTTTCCTTATTTGAGATTTCAATAATACTTAGAGGTTAAATTGTCTGGTTTCAGTTGAATCGAGTCTTGAAACCCTTTCACCTATTTATATGTAACTCTTTATGTATTTTTATATACTTATTATGTACTTGGTACTACGTCATATTATTAATTTAATAAAATACATTGCCGCCTACTCAATGAGTATGCACTACAATTTTTTACAATTTTTCGTGTTTAACCCATGGAATTTCAATTTTTCAGTAAAAATTTTCAAGTATGCACTTACCATACGCACGTTATAAAAATAAAAAGCATCATATAAAATTTTTATAATTTATATTTTAAGGATAATATGCACCATGTTTTCGATTTTATTATTTTATTATTTGGAAAATGTATTTGTAAAATTTTATTTATAAAAAATAATTAACAAAATTATATTCAAATTTAATTCAATTTAAAATTATTTAATACGAAATTTTTGTTAAGTAAAATTTGCCTTACAAAAATTTATCAGGATATTGAATTAATCGAACATCCTATTCACATATATACTAATATATATTATATGTATATATACTTATATATATATCTACAAGCACAAAATATGATAAAAGTATGAAATAATAATTGTTTGCGAATGCATAAGAATTTTAAATGCGTAAGTAGCTACTTGAATTCGATAATAATTATCTTGTCTACGTTAATAAAGTAAAAACCTCGAATATCCACAAAAACACCCACGGATTCATTTTATTATCAGAATTTACATATATGTATAAAATTATAAATATATAAGTAAGTATATACATTCATAAAAATACAATATAAAAAATATAAAAAATATGTTCGTTATTATCTTAGAAATTATTGAAAATCGGCGTTGTAAAAATTTAATCGCCGGAATCAGACGTGATCTGCAAAAGCTAGCCAAATCGTCACATATCAAAATAAACTCAGATATATATAAGTTTTAATAGGTAAAACTTATGTACAAGTAGATAAGTTGCACTTCCTTACTACGAAGAACATTGTTGCTCAAAAAGTTGACATGTGAATTTTGATATAGCCACAATAAGTACATGTTTATGTATAAATTGTAAGCAATACTGTTGATAATAACTTAAAGTCTAAATAAACTTCCCCTAATCTTTCCCATTCTAAAAAATTTTCAAAATTGATTTACAAACCGTATAAGTACTTATTAGTAAAAAATTTAAATACAAATAATCTTATAAAAATCAAAACCCTTGTTTTCATTTTTTATCTTTTTCCAAGTTTATCAATTAAATGTACATATATGTATGTACTTATAAAAAGACGTAACCTTAGTAATTGATTTTAGTTTATTACATATTTATATTCTGATTTATATAGCCCTTAAAGTAATTATTTGGTGATATCATAATATTTATTTTGAATTTATATTACATACATATAAGCAACTAATTTTTTGTTACACTTGAGACTAAGCTATTTATATTACCCACTTACATACAAATATGCATATATGTATGTACTTATTTACATGGAATTGTATAAGAAAGTTATAAATTAAGTAATCGATCAAAGAAATGCAAATATTCAAACATTAAGTGTAAGTGATTACTATGTAGAGTAGGTAATGATAACAAATTTAATATTAAAAAAAGAAAACATTCCAATTAACAAAAATTTGTACTTATAGACTTAAATTTGTGAATTAAGTGTTTAGTAACAGCATTTAAAAGTTAAGTTTATTTTGATTCATGCTCAATCCGAGGCATTTCTTTTAATTATTCTCATTAATGATTCGATTCAAAAGTATACTTATTGTACTTATTACACATTTGAAGATATTTTGTAATTATAAAATTTTCGAGTAACTTATAATATTGTAACACAGGTATGGTTTCTTTTCTACAACTACGAAAACTAGAAGGCAACTTCAGTACAAACAAATATATTTCAGTACACCTCCTTTGTCATGAATTTTCTATATTTTGATCAAAGAAATCTACTTGTAACCAATGCTTTAATAAAAACGAATCCGAATAGATTTGTTGCTATGTTGTCAATAAATAAAAAAAAATATACCCGAATTCAAATTTTAATTAATTAGAATAAACATACATACATACTATAAAATCCAAAAATTCCAAACATAAAATAATATGAAAATTAAAAGAATTCAGGTGTTTACCAAGAAACAGAATGTATCATATTGCAAGAAATAACCGTTTCGTCTTAAAAACAATAAATTCGATATTTAAACATTGTACATACATACATAAACACAGTTTCATGCTTACGTTATAATTATACACAAAAATTCTTACATAAATTATTCTTTATAGATAATCATAATCATCTCTAAAATATGCGATTTAAACTTAATGACTTAACAGTTTAATTTCGCGCTTTATAAATCATCCTCATTTGTTTTTTTGTAATTTTGAGTCACTATCATTAAATAGAAATTAAAATTATCTAATCGACTTACATATACATACATATGTATATAGATATTAAGTGTATGTGGAGATATATATATATATGTATATTATGTGTATGTAGATGTACATATGCATAGTTATGCATACTCGTATTATGTAGATGAAATTCAGAACATTTAAAATAAAAAACCCACTATAATTTTAAAATTTTTGTTTTTGTCATTTTATTTTGTATTCCCACGGAGTAATTAGTTTATTATAGTAATTTACATTTATGTACATTATGGTGTGTAAGCATTTCAGTGGAATAAAAAACATAAGTAGGTATGAAATTCTAAATTCTTAATAAATAATTGTTAAATAGCAAATATTCCAAATACACCAACCTACAAGAAAAGCGTTTTTAAGAAGAGTCAAAATGTAATGGAAAAATTTTGATACTTAAATCTTTG